AAAAAATAGATATACTAAAGAAAAATGTCCTTTTTACGCTAAATAGTGAGCGAAAGATAATTTATTTACCCGACCGCAATGATTTAAAACAAACTTCCAAATTTAGTGGTTTCTTTGTCAGCATCCTGGATCTGTCTTCTAAAATGAGCCATTTGACATCATATACACAGTTACATAACTTTTAGTCGCAGAAGCTACTCCACAGATGGGATATAAATGTTAGGTTGTGTTTCCGTGTTTCCATAATAACAGCCTGTAAACCTCTGCTTTACTATACGAGGCATCAGCAGCTCATTTTAACCTCAACACTGACATCTAGTGTCGCAGGAAAGAAAGAATGAACTGCAGTTTGAGTGCTGATAGCTGAACGTTTTGAGCTGAAATGAAATAATTGCTGAATGTTAAGTTAAAAATGTTGAATGAGCTGAAAAAGGCGGAATCATTCACCTGAAGGCTAAAGTGCAGAACTGTTAAAAATCTAAAGTGCACATGCAATTTTCCAAGTTTGGAAAGTAGCTAAACATCCTTAAAATCTAAAAAAGCTGAGTTATGACAAATAAATAAATAAATAAGTCAGCATTCTCACTAAATAGTACCATAATATATATAAAAATAATGAGTGATTATATTGTTTATTATTTGCTGAAATGTCTAATAAAGAAATAATCAATAGATTCTTTGTTTTTTTTTTCATTTAACAATAAAAAACATTAATCATTAAAAATGACGACAATCTACCCAGATAAATAAATAAATATTTGAAACAATCTAAATATCGGACAGGTTGTTTTGGGTGTCAATGACATAATTTTAAGCACAAAAGGTTTTCCTCAGGTAAAGGCTCGGTGTGACAAGAGTACCAAGTAGAAGATAATACTCAGTTTACACTTTTATTACTCTTTACCTGCTTCTTTCCAGTACGTGGCAGTAATACTGTGCCACATAGTTTGTATTTCATCCTCGTCTCTTTAAGCTTTCTTTTTTCTCATTTCTGTCCCTTCATCTGTTTAACGAGAGTTCTTCCTTCCCGCCATCACCAACGGCTTCCTCACAGAGGACCATCTGAATGTTAAACTTATTCTCAATATTGTAGGTCTTTTTATTGTAATATAAATAATAATAATAATAATGTGACTGATCTTGTGAATTGTTGCTATATATGTCACCCAATGGTTAGCAAGTTGCATCAATGTACTGTATAGATTTATCACACTTACACAAACATGTGCTTAATGGAGCCAAGCTGCAATCATGGGGCTGAAAAGTGAAGGCAACAGAGAACTGTTAAAAGCTGCAGTCCCTGTAATACCTACTAATGATTGTACAAAAGTAAATCAACCATCAGAAACTATTTTGTTAAAATGCTCAGTTTTACAGGGTGTGTACACGTGTCCTATCACTGGCAGCTGTAGCAATGTTTGGATTTTTAAAGTAACTGACTAACATGAATGGCTTTTTATTTAAGGAGTTTGTGCTTCAGTTTTGGTGCATGAAATGTCTGTATTTTATTCCTCTTTTGCTTAGCACAAGTTAGTGGGTATCTGTGTGTTTGAAGATCACCCGTGCAGTTTTTGGGTGCAGATTCCTAAGCAAGCTTGCTAGTTGCTAACGTTGCATTCCACTGTGTTGTTCAAATATGGTTGCTTTTGATTAAAAAAACAACAACAACACACAAAACCAAAGAAAAACATTGTGGCTGTAAAAATAGTCATGCTAAAGCTTCAAAATGTGGATAATATGGCATCTTTAATATGCAGCCTAATATTAATACTTGGCAACCTAAGGAATACTGTTATTTTACATTCGTAGCTGGAGCATGAATCTGGATTGTACCTTAGTGGTTATGGAAGAAACTATCCATGACCAAAAGAGACTGATAACATTATTTTTTATCCTGTAATGCTGGCCTGGGGATTTATTAGCAATGACTCACTTTTGGAGTCAGCTTCAAATGGACATTTGCTTCATTTTCCAGCCCCAGAGGCTACTGCTTGAACGGTAAATGACTGGTATGTAGCACCTTTCTACCTAATTTTGCGTTTTGCACTGCAAGTCTCATTCACACAGTGCTTTTATCTATACTTAAGGACATTTATCTAACGTTGACATACACACTGTGATGGATGTATCAGGGGCAACCTGCCCAAGGAAGATCTATCGACCTTCTGATTGGTTGACAGCCTGCTCTATCAGCTGAGCCGCAGCTGCCGGTGGACACGGTGAAAACTCACATTAAAACAGAGAAATGTTAACACGAATGACTTCACATTCAAGCAAACTTTATTAGTGTGATATGAAGCAGAAATGTAGGATGATAGCATGAGACATGAGCTTGGCCTATACACAGCTCTGCAGGTATGTGTGGTTACAGGTCATCAGGCACACACACTGTGTACTGTGTTTACACAGTTAACACACACAAACACACACACACACTTACTTACTTGTAAAGGATTTACAGGCAGGATTTTTTTTTTAAATTCGTAAACACAAAGTGCAAACTTTATATATTTTAGCACCAAAACTCAAAAATCTAGTATATAGCACCAAAAAAGCATATTAAATCGTACAGGATACTTTAAAAATGAAATGTCCATTATATTTAAAAATGCCAAGAAACTGTCATCAAAATGTGTTTAAAGTTTTAAACATTAAATTAATACTAATGATAAAAATCTTATTGAGAAGCAGTCTATAGAAGCGCAGAGAGAGCATGCGTGTCTGTGTGCAGTCACAAAATAAATTGTTTTGCCCCACTCACATGAAATCGTTTTTTGCAGTTTAAAATAGAAAAAGCTCACGAGGTCATGAGAAAACTAAATTAAAAAAGAAAAAACATGATATAAAGGCAAATGAATTCCTACTCAATCCTGCCCTGAAATTATTTAGGCTAAAAACGTGTATCTAATGGCCTTTGGGTAAAAATTTGCCTCTTTAAACAAACTTTTATGTTGGATATAAAAACTAAATGTGCAAAGTAAGATAAAAAAAAAGAAACCAGTAACTCCAACTGTCAGATACATGTAGTAGTATGGAAGCAAAAAGTACAACGTCTCTCTCAATATAGAAATACAGGACACATGTAATGAATCAGAACTGCTGTGAATTATTTTCCATCTCTTGTTTGGATCCATCATAAATCGATCATCTACCCCAGTAACTCAAAAAGACTAAAATATTAATCAGCATATCGTCCCTATTTCAGGTATTTCTATGTCCTGAGTATTTTTTATTGTGTATATTTGAATCATCTGACTCACATGTGAACAAACTGTAAGTTTAACTCCTGTGCAGCTCTGTATGCGTCTTCTATGTTCGTCTTCAGGCTCATATCCGGGGATTCACCTCAATAGCTGCAAAAAGCAAAGCAAAAGTACTGATGATTGATAGGTAGTTGGTTCCAGTTATTCTGAATTCATAAATTAGATAAAAGCTAAAGAAACATCCTGTATTTTCACTCAGAGAAGTAAAATGAAGTTTACTTTTCTGTCAGCAAAATGCAGAATTTGTGGGTAGGAAGTGGATGTGTTCCCCAGAACAAAGTCAGGAAATAAGGTGGAACTCCACAGGTTGAAACAACATAAAGAATCACAACAAATGTTGATCTTTTTTACTACTTAGACAAATCAGCTGATTAATAAATCTGCAGTTGCACCTTTTACATGTGATCATCAATCACAGGACACAGTTACACCTTTATACCTGAAAGGAAGTCTTCACTTTCTAGTTTTGGGAAATCTATAACAAAAAATCAGTAATCAGTACAGAATTTATGTCTGTAACTGAATCTTTTCTCAGGTGTAGAAGGAGCTGTTTCACAAAGCAGCACAGATTAGTGAGTTACCCACTCTCTGTCTGGGCTTTACCAGGATATAATGCAATGATGTAATGGTTAGGACTATCGCTTCAAAGGGAGAGGGTTCTTGGTTTCAACATGCTGGTCAGCTGGAGTCTTTCTGTAAGAAGTTTGCATGTTCTCTCTGTGCCTGCATGGGTTCTCTCCAGGTATTTTTGGTTGCCTCCCACAGTCCAAAGATATTCAAGTTAATGTGTCACCACAGAAAAATCTTCATCTCATCCTCTTCCTAGCGTCCCCCTCTGCCACACTGCTCTTCTACATATCCTCCTTCACTACAATTATGAATCTTCTTAGTGGTCTTCCACTTTTCCTCCTCCCTGACAGCTCCATATTTAGCTCCTCTCTCTAGTATATCAGCTATCCCTCTTCTGCACATGTCCACATCATCTTAGCCTTGCCTCTCTAACGTTGTGTCCAAATTGCTCAACCTTCTCTATCCCTCTGATATACTCATTCCTAATCCCGTCCATCCAGCTGTCTCCCAGTGAAGCATCTTCATTTCTGCCACCTCCACCTCGGCCTCCTGTCTTTTTGTTAGTGCCACCATCTCCAGACAGAATATCACAGCAGGTCTCGCTAACACCTAATGACGTCCTTCTGTTAAAATGCATCAGCTGATTTCTTGTGACGGTAATCACATGGTTCTATGGCTGTTCTTCTATTTCACAGCTTCACCAAATCAGCCTGAATTAACAGTAAAGGAAACGTAGAGGTTTCTCACGCTGTCACGGTGCATCCGGACACGTGTGCAGAGGTGCCGGTGTACTGAACATCGCATCGAGCGACGTTGTTGTTGAAGTTGGACTCTGGAACTTGCTGTCTGGGGTTTACTGTCACCTGACAGGAAAAGACAGTGTAAACAGCTGAAAAATATATGACTAAATCAACAACATTTGGCAAAACTTTACTATTTTCATTCTTTAATTGTTTTGTAATTTAAAAAGGCACAGAACGGTCAAAACCATGACATGTGAATCAGACCTTCAGGATGTACTTCCCAGGAGAGACGTCAGTGATGTCAATCCACTGACAGTCGATGTCAGCATTGTAGGTGTCATAGCAACCTGGACTCAAACCCTATTAGAAAAACAAAGGGGAAAAAAAACTCCACATTAACACAGTCCTGTGAACTTAATATAAACATTCACAACACAATTTTAAGACATTTTTTTTGAGGCTTATGAGTAACTTCAATAAGGGATAGCTGTATTCATTCATCTGGCTGCATTTGTGGGTGTTTGGACTGCTAATCTATTCTTTGCATCACTTCTGCTTTTAAACGCTGTCAAACTTAATTCTTTCATCATCACCAGTTATTATCCTGCCTCCCCATGTGAGCCGATCAGCCCTGGATGTGCTACAAATCTCAGTCTTCTTCCATCATTCTGCCTTTCAAACTCCACCTGCTTCAGCCACCACCAGGCGGTCCTGCCCTACGTCTCACTGTTGCCGGAGTCTGTTTTGCAATGTAGCTTAATTGCAGTCAAGCTGTCAAATAGTTTATTAGTCAGACCGAATGAAAATTAATGTGCTAAATGATGAATTGCTAAATATATATCATTAATGGTTGTAAGAGACATGGTTCTTATAGAATAAGAACCTGTGCTGTCTACAGTCTGTGAGCTCAGAAATCATCTATTTCAGGCCCTAAACTAGGCTACATATTGTTAAGCAAGAGTACTTTTTCTTTGTTCCTTTTAATATTAAGATTTTTAAAATATTGATTTCTTCTTTTTTTTGTAAAAAAAAAATGGCATCAATGAGTTTTCAGCTTTCAAGAACCAGGAAAAAAGTTGCTTTAGCTGAAACTAAGAATTGCTTCCTAAGATAGTATCCCACCAAAAGTACTCATTATACAGTACTCTGTCATATTTATAAAAGATATGACGTCTACAAGTCAGGTTACTGTGTTTTTCTCTTTAATAGTAGTATAGAAGTAATCCAATGTATAAATGAATTTACTTCAGTATTGTCCCCAATGTGTTTTTGTACCTGAGTGTGTGAGGTGCAGGCGAAGCGGCGATAGTATCCTGGATCACAGGAGGTGTCCTCCAGACAGAAGCTGGCCTTGTGACCCTCAGCCACTTGACTATAAGTTCGGAAATCCAGCAGCTCGTACAGGCTGAACTCGTCCATGCTGTGGAAGTGACTGAATAACACCACAATAAAGTCACAGTGTGGCAGTAAACTACCAAATAACTGGGACAGTAAGTCCAGGAACAATACTGGGGTAATAAATGTATACCAGCGTGAATCTCTAAACCACGTTAAACCCTTTCATCTGGCAACCTACTTGTGACAGCTGTGCCACTCCCAGGCATATCGAGGTTTACTGGGCAGGAAGTCGGCCGTTCCCTGATTCTTCACCCTCTGAGGAAACCTCAGTAAAACTCTGGTGTCATAATCCTGAGAATAACGAGAAGACCTAGAGGAGGAGAGATGGTGGCGAGAGACGAGCTCAAAGTCAAGTCTTCAGTTGAATAAATAAAAGAGGGAATTCTGCACAAACACTGAGTCTTGTGTCCATCACTGAAATGGAAATGATTTGGAATTTCAGTAGATGAGGTATGTTCCATGTAAAGTATGTTATTAAATGTATTTTATAAATTATATAATATTCTTTTGGGACAGATGGTTACCCAAATACAGCACTTCATCAGAATCAGAATCGTGTTTATTGGCCATGTATATGTGCAGATACATACAAGGAATTTGCTTCCGGTAGATGGTGACTCTCAAGCAGTTGATATCTATCTATCTATCTACACACACACACATACATATATATAAAATATATAAAATATGTATTTATATATATATCTGCTTCACACGTTTTATATTTATTTAAGTCTGTGTCTTACTATGTAAAAAACAAACTTGTGTGTATATGCTGACTTCTGCACACCAGGGGGCGCTGCTGAACGAACCTGCAGTAAGTTGTCAGCTTCCTTCACTGAGCTCCTGGATTTTGGTCAGTCCTAGCTTCACATTTTTATGTCATACACAGAAATGATCTCAATGGGAGTAAAAAAGGACACCAACATTTGTCTGATTGTGCAGCTAGTTATTAGTGAAGACATCTGTCCCTCTCCTTTTATACTGTTTCACATCTGAAACTAAAAAAGCTATTTTGTCCATTCACACATTAGTTTTTCGTTCAATCAGTCACTCACACTCACATCAAAGTGAAGTTACAGCTGATTGGTGAATTTTAAAACACACAGTGTGAAAATAAAATATATCTGATAACAGGCAGCAGAA